ATGAAGTCTCGCCAAGTTGCCCAGGCTGGTCTCGAACCCGCGGGCTCAGGCAATCCACTTACCTCAGCCTCCCAAGGCTCGGGATTACAGGCTGAGCCACCGAGCCTGGCTGGTTTTTTGTTTTTTGTACTTGTCTATCCCTCTCTGTTCTTTTCTTCTTTGGCAGCCATATCCTCTAAGACCTCAAAGCTGATGACATTTGCCCTGTCACCATCTGATAACTCATTGCTAATATTTCTACTTATTCAAAGCCTAACATTATTTCCCACCCTTTAACTCCACCTCTGTGTCAAGCACTGGGGTATTGTTCTTGGTTAATCTAGCTGGAAGGTTTCCTGGAGGAAGTGATATCTGAACTGAATTCTGAAAGACTGGGGGTTGGGGTGGGGAGAAGAGGACAGGTACTGTGAGTGAGAAAAGGCCTGAAAGAGAAGGTGTTGAAGAAAATACATGGAAAACCATATGTACAGTCTCTTCTATAACCCAAAGTGGGTGCCCAATCCATGATAGATGTCTAAACTTAATGGTTACCTAGCCCAGTCTGTCCCTTTTCAGATGAAGAGTCCAGGTCTTCAACGGCTGCTCCACCCCTCAGAGCCAGTGTCTGTCCTCTTCCTACCCAGAGCAAGGTGCCACCTGGAAGAGATGTTCAGATAGATGGGATCCAGGACCAAAGGGAATATATCAGTTTTGGAGAGGTTCCGGTCAGTGCAGCCACCATTTTCCCTCCATTTGTGGCCCCTCAGGCCACTTGGCCAGGTATCACAGCCTCTAGGCAGATGCAGCTGGGAAGCATGGGAACAGCTGCACTGGGCTAAAGTGAGTTGTATGGGAGTTGTTGCTGCATCCTGCCAGACTAGCAGACAGTCACACATCAGTGTGAGCACCCTGAGAGAGGCACAGTTCCAGCTCAGTGCTGGGTCCAGTGCAGGTTTCAGAGGGTGAGACTGGTGTAGTCTACACCAGCTCTCCTATGTGTAAACAATTAAGAGAATATTTTTGTTTTGTTTTCTAAAACAAGACACTTTATATACATCTCATTGGTTATACATGTTCATTATAAAAAGTAATTTAAATAATACAGAGATGCCAAAAAGAAAGTAATATCCACTCCAAGTCCCACAACTCCTGTAATCACAAGCAACAGCCAGCTATTGGGCTTTCCATCTTTCCACCCTTTGGGTGAGCACAGAGATCCTTATTTTTTCAATTGCAGGAGCTACCTTGTATAGGCACTTACTACATGCCAGAAATTATGCCAAGTGCTGACTGCCAGCAGCTCCTCCTGTCTCAAGGCCTTTGTGTCATCATTTCACCCTTGGCTATACCAGATGCAGTTCTTGCCTCATAATATTAGGTTTGTCTTAAATGTCATTTCTTCAGTGTCCTTCAGACATTACAAGTCAGGTCTCTTGTTAGTTTCATCACATCCATTACTTCTGCTTGGTCACTTGTACCATCATCTATTACTTATTTTTATGTTTATTTAATGTCTGTTTTTTGTTTGCTAGACTGGAAGCTCTCAGAGGGCAGGAACTGTTTGTTTGCCTGCCACAGAGATGTTCAATAAATACTGTCAAATGAATGTGCAAATGATCTCCTTTAATCTTCATAGCCATGAGGGGTACTATTTTATCCCCATTTTAGAGATGAGGAAACTGAGGCTTAGAACAGTTACTTAACCAGCTCAAGGTCACACAGTGAATTAGCGGATGCACATGTCTGTCTCCAGCCTACCTGTGTATACTTAAGACTTGACCACTAAGCAACAGCTGCTTCTTACAGACTGGCAGGGAACTTACTTTCCCCTTTTACCGATATATTATGAAAGCCTTTTCTTGTTAATAAACATACATTCACGTGCGTAATTTTTAATGATGCCATGGTATTTCATTATGGATGCAATTTATTCATTCACTTACTGGGTTTCTCAATATTTCCCAGTTACCGAGGACCTAGAGATGAAGCCTTTGAACATGCATGTTTCAGTACTTCTTTGAGCACCTGCAATTTTATTCCTTAGGATAAATTCCTATAATATTGCACGTTTGTTTACAATATGATCAGATGCAAAATGGGGTAGTGAGGCGCTTTAAGGAGTGGAAATCCGTGGGTAGGATGCACGTCAGAATCTCCGGGGAACTTTTTCAAAATATTCAAGCCCGGGTCCCACTTTCGGAGGCGGGTGGTGGACCTGGGCACTGGCGTTTTAAGGGTCCTCTGTGGTTCCAAAGTGCCAGGTATTGACCACTGGAGTAAGTGCGTGGTCGCAGCTGGCGTAAAGTCGCAGAAACTAAAATACTGACTGCCCTCGGACAGTTCGCAGCCCCAGTCAAGCCTCCGTTTCTGCCTTTGTAAGGGGGCAAGGAGGAGCGGGACTTCGATGACCTGGACTCCTTCCATCCCCGGGTGTTGGGGGTCCAGGTTTGATTCTATCGGCTTTCTCAGGCTGTCGGGCGGGGCGGGGGGGGGGCTGGGAAAGATGACGTAATGTGCTCACAGCCGGAGCTGAAGGCTGCCGGCAGTCGCGGGTTGAGGGTGGCCTGTTAACCCTTTAATCCCAGGCGGGTGGACGGAGTTGCTTGTGGAGCGCATCCAACGGAAAAGGGAGCGGCGTCTTTAAACAAGGAGAAGAAGGTTGGGCTGAGGACCCGGCGGCTACTCCTCCCATTTGCTCCCCGGCCGCGGGAGGTGGAACCTCGCTATGCAAATCTGAGCTGCTGATCGATGACGCGCCATCACCCCACGCGCCACTTGAAGCGCCGATTGGCGGACGTGAGCCTGGTCCCATTGACAACAAACAAGGGGGATCGCGGCCTGGGGGCGGGGCCGCAGAGGGCGCGGGCTGGGGCGGGGAATCCCGCCCCGCCCTTTCCGCGCGGCGCCGGGGCGCAGCGCAAACATGGCGGCGGCTGGCACGGGCCGGTGAGGCGG